AGACCACATGTATGAGCATTACAAGATATGAATGAAAGACACTGTTGTGAATTATGATATAAAAAATGGCTGTGCATGAAATTTTAAAAGTTGCCCATGTTCAGTCTGACTCAGTCCCACTCTCTGAGCAAAAACAGCATGGAGTCAAAAAGAAGAACCAGTCAGCATCATTGGATGCCATCAAGCTACAAGTGTTACATCTATTTACATTATTCCGACTGTTATCCTCATCTTCATTGGCATATTCACATTTCGGCTGTTGCGCACTCCGGCCTTCTTCAGGTGATTGGAATTTCGAAATAGAAGTAACACTTGTAGAGTTGTGAGTTCAATAACTGAACCCTTTATTTCATCCATCAGGGTAGATTGTTCTAGTTCCACATGCCATGCCTCTTCCTGATGTCTCAGTTATTTCCCTTTAACTCAAGCTTTTTGGTTCACCACTGCTGTAGCCTGGTATTAAACTCACAACTCTTTGGGTCTAGTCACTAGATCTAACCAATGTCTTTTTTCCACTGGGCCATATATTCTTGAGGCCAGTGTGTACAACAGCCAAAATGTTATGGATATGGCAATGAAGATGAGGATAACAGTCTAAATAATGTAAATAATCATAATACCTCATCTCAAAGATATAGACAGATAAGTGTTACATCTTTTTTCCTTCTCCTAGTTGGTTAACAAAGGCTAAGGTGGCTAATGCTTCCAGTGGACAATAACCCTGATATTTCTACATCGAGCATGTACTAGATAGACATTGATCCCACCCTTTGACAGGAGTTGTTTCAAATCCTGCTAGATTTCTATCCACCCTCCTCATGAGAAAAAGCCTGATAAGGGAACTGGCTTAGTTGCTAATATCCCATCCATGTGGTAGGTAGTAGTGGGTTACATAATACCAGTAGCATTTATAGAGCGACCTGACTGTAAAAAAAATAGTATCTGAGGATGCCTGTCTACTAGGGTGGCTAGACAATCCCTGTTGCAGATGCATGCTCAGGCACATTTGTGTCTGTCTAACACCCATAGAGCCCACCTGTTGTTTATACTGCAACTTTGGTGAGTGGACATTATTTACAGTTTCTAGGGTAGAGTGTGTTACCTGGTGTGATCAACAGTCTGAACAAGACCAGCACAATCAAATTCTCGGTTACGATGACTTGTAACTTTGTGCTCATACAACCATCAATGGTTCTCCAAAGAGTTCTGTCTACCCAATTTTGCTCATATGGTTTGGTTTTCAGGCACTTTCCAAGGTGCTGCATACTGGGATTGCTTCCCACCAGGCCAATAACATCAAGTCCCCTTTCTGAAAAATCAACCATGGTGTGATTCAAACCCAAGTCTTATGGTCAGAAAGCATACATTCTGTTATAGACAAGTGTATGGTTGCAAGAAAGAAATATGGCAACAGTAGAAATAGATTTGAATGCTAGAATGCTAGTTTATTTGCCTGTAAATCAGCCGAGATATGTCTTATTTTATTTTATAACAATTCTAACCACTCGGCCACGTGCCCATGACCTATCTATATATACATATATACACAGATACTTAGTAATACATTGGGGTTGCAGTGGAACCATATGTACTGTAGACATAATAGTAGTAGTATGTCTAAGATTTACCAGACTGGTTTTAAATTCAGAGTTTTCCTTCTCCTAAACTGGTTGCTACCTCAAGGCATTGCCAGGGTTTCTCATTGAAAAGAAATAAAAGAAAATGCATCCTCCCACTGTTTGAAAGAAATCACACCCAGCCATGATTTACAGAGTTGATCATTAGGCCTCTCTTGACTTGCTGTTGTGCTTATATTTACAATTTAGACGTGTCTCATCACTCTCTGCATGATTGCTGTCTTTTGTCACTCCATAAGAGCAAGTAATAATTTTCATTTTCCATAGTTTATCACGGCTTGATTATCTTCTCATATACTGGTGAGGATTAATTGACCATAATTTCTTTCAAGAGTTGCTGGCTGAAAAGCGAATGTTGGATACAAACTTCTCTTTATGTGAGTATTTCTGATGAAAGGGGTCTGTCGTTTTCACTGGATTTAAAAGCCCATGGCTTAAAAATGTTAAGAAGCACTTCTCTTTTCATGTTGCTTTTTACTACATTATTTACATTATTCAGACTATTGTCCTCATCTTTGTCACCATATTTATCACAATGTTTCGGTTGTTGCATGCTGCAGCCTTCTTCAGATGGTTGGAATGTCAAACTGAACCCTTTATTTTGCTCACTGGGGTAGACTGTTCTAGTTCCATGTGCCATGCTTGATGGATGTCAGTTATCAGTTATCTGCTGTTAATTTCCCTCTGAAAGTTCTCCACTGCCTTAACCGGGTATTGAACTCACTCTCTCTGGGTCCTGTCACTGGATCTAACTAATGCCTTTATCCACTGTGCCATGTGTCCTTGCTTTTTACTAATGTTTAATAACTTCAGTTAAAAATCTGGTACTCAAGATTGATCTTAGCATCTTCTTTCTCTATTATTTAAATGCCATGTGGGAAATCATGGTTCTCCATATCTTCCTGTCCCTTGTTGCAATGATTGTCCACTTACTATCCCTCACAGACCTTGTTCCGCCACCCAATTATACAATCTCATTAGTTTATTTGCTGTTTCCCTCTGCCTCTCTTGGCTTCAATATGCCTGTGAGTGTCAAATTTTCCATGCTTTCTTTCCTCATTATTTGTTCCAGAAAGTTCAACTTTCTTTCTGATCATAAGTATGTGTCCTTTTGTTTCCATTTTCCTTAAAACTTCTTGTTTTTCCCACAGTATTCTCAGTATCCTTCTGTAGAACAACATCTCTGTTGCCTCAACTCTCCTCTTCATCTGTTTGGAAATTTTCTAGTATTCACTGCCATTCTTTTCTTTGTAACAACATTTTCCTGTGTCTTAATATTTTGTTTAGTTTCCTGAAGGCAACTTCTGCTAGATTTTAGCACAAATGAAATTTTGTGATTACTGTCTTCTGTAAAAATTATCTTCAATATGGAAATAAGGCTGTTAATAAATTCGAGAGAATGAAATTTAATTAATATAGGCTTGTTTAGTTTTAGAAATTTTATCAATTAAAAGAGAAGTGAAATTGACGTTTATATAATTTATTGGCCAACAGTTTGTAACGAATCAAACAAATCACAATGAAAGCTAATTCAATTTGATTTTCTATTTCTGTTCTCATTGCTTTCTACACACAACCTCAGCTTAACCATTTTGTTCATCTGTCATTCACTTGTCCACCAACAGAAAAACACAAAATCATTATTTGTTTGAAATGTCACTCACCCAAAAGCTGACCGACTGTGAACTTGACCGTTTCTTGTAACTGAAAGAAGTAACCTGGCATCTTGCTTTCAATCACTTTACATCCGCTATAACATACATTTGCTGAACCTTTTCTATAAATACTTTCATGGCAATTGTTCAGATGAGCTTTCCTCTTGGGTACCTCAACCTTTTATGAATTTAACTATAATACTAGGTTGAAATTGCCAGATGAAATCACATACAGTATGATAAATGGTAACATCTGACTTAGCTTTATCCCACTTTTACCATATAATTTACCCCCCTCCACCAGTTACTCTTTCTGTGGTCTCTTGCTTGATATACACACAATTTTTCTGCTTCTTACAGTCACAGTGAGAAGAAGCAGAAAAATTGTGTGTATATCAAGCAAGACACCACAAAATTAATTAAATAAATTATTTATATTTGAATACTGTTGGGAGAGAGAATATTCCCCTACAAGTTTGGACTCAGCTCTCGGACAAAAGACATAAAAATACTCCTACATCAAGAGGAGTAGCAGCAGCAGCCTTTGCTGGAAACATTTAGTCATTCATGGCTAACATTCACTTCCCTAGTTTCTATTCTACATTATGTTTCCCTGTACTAAAAGGAACTTGTTAAACCTATTCTGGTTTTCTACTGCTGTTTTTGATAACTCAGTTACAACAAAGATTTTTATTTATATTAAATAACTAGATAAGTTGTTCATATTTAAATAAACAATTCAATGCTATAAGAACAATAATGAAAGCAATTATTAGCATTTGCCCTTTTGGAGTACTTTTTTTGAAACTGACTTTCAAAGACATCATCATTTTGATTGGGTCTGATTCAAGTAGGTATGAATAAATAAGCCAGATCTGGCAGAACAGATAACATGTCAGTAGGAAAGCGTTTAAGAAAGGACAATTTGCCAACTCCCTTATCCCAACCCCACAAATCAGTTATATTGGGTAAATGAAGCCAACTTGCAGATATTAATTCTGGAGCTATTAAACTAGTGAACAAGTGAGTGACACCTGATGTAGACTGCAATTTTAAGTGAATAACTCCAAGAGATATAAAGCAATTAACCTGTCGCCATTGGCTTGGATTTTCATCATTGATTTTGGTTATGTTTCTTTTCTTAGAGGCAGACAAATTGCAGAAACGATGTATCTTAGCAGCAGACAAGTACAGACAGGAGAGAGGTAGTGACTTAATGCAATGTAAACTGTCGTTTTAACGGAAACAGAATCTTGGATAAGAAAAAGCTCATTTAAATTGGCTGAATTGTGATTTGTTTTGTACACCAACAGCTACAGAGGACATAAATGAAAAAAAAAAAAAAAATGAAAAAACTTTGATATAATATTAACTATTTGAGATGATATTTTTACATGGTTTCATATTGGGAAAATATCTTGTTAGCTGTCACGGAACAGTCCTTATCACCAAGATGAAGAAGACCAAAGACAAAATATTGCAAGATATTTCCTCTTTCAATCTAGGGAATCATCATCACTACTATCATCATCTGCAGCAGCATCCCCAAGACTGGCTACGACTTTAAGGTCACTGTAAAACTGATCAGCTTCCTCCATATGTCTGAGTCGCATGCCCAATGTTCAAGTCTCTGTGAATGATCTTCCAGTCCACTAAGTGACATTGTGATTCCATTTTTTCCAATGTCTGATTCTTCTTCTTTTAAGGCTTATGGCCATATCATGTTGAAACACAGGTTCTCATTTGATCACCGAAATCAAGCAACATTGATCCTGGTCAGTACCTAGATGGGTGACTGCTTGGGAATACCAGGTACTGTAAGCTTTGATGTGGTGGTGGGGTAATGCATAATAGCTTTAATTGTAATTCAGAGAGCCAAATTCCAATTCCAATTGGGTTTGTTATATTCCCTTACATGCAAATAATCTTGGGACCAGATATGAAACGACCTCTTCTCCTGAGAAAGAGAAAATGGAGGAAAGAGATAGAAAAAAAAAATAGAGAAAAAGAAAAATGGAAAAGAGAAAGAAAGTAAAATTGTAAAAATAGATTGATTGATTTGTTTTTTTTGGCTTATCAACCCTCTATGGGTAATTTAAAGCTGAAATGTATTTCCGTTTGATAAAAGATAGAAATTGAGGAAAAGAAAGAGAAACTGGGTAAAGAAGGAGAAAATATGGAAGAGGAAAGAGAAAATGAGGAAAGGAAAGAGAAAATGAGGAAAAGAAAGAGAAAATGAGGAAGAGAAAGAGAAAATGAAGAAAAGAAAGAGAAAATGGGAAAGGAAAGAGAAAATGAAGAAAAGAAAGAGAAAATGAGGAAAAGAAAGAGATTATGGGAAAGGAAAGAGAAAATGAGAAAGGAAAGAGGAAATGAAAATGAGAAAAAGAAAATGGGAAGGATACAGAGAAAATGTGAAAGAGAAAATGGAAAAAGAGAGAAAGGAAGAGAAAATGAAACAAAAAAGAGAAAGAATAAATGGAAACGAAAAAATCAGGGTAAGTGGAAAAAAAAAAAAAAAGAACAATGAGGAAAAGGCTCAAAGGAGAAAACGAGAAAGCGGAATGGGAACAGATGCGGGAGTGGAAATGAAACTTTTTTAACATTGACGTAGACTAGTTTTCTAACTGAGCAGATTTTCTGCATCATGGCTTGCTACAGTTTTTTATATGAAAAGGCAGAAAGAGAGAGAGAGAGATCATATGTTTGTAGAGTACTGAAAAAATAGCAAATTCTTTTAAGCCAGCCTTGGGCAAATGAGTTGTCTAAAGATAAAACTGTAACTAGATGGTGCCAGTGGTACTTATATATATCTTTCCCAAAAGGAGGGCGTGTGTAAATGTTTAAGGTTGATTGACTCAGGAATTTTCACTTGACAGCACACAATTGTCTCATGAAAAGATCGAAGCTGATTTGGACGCAGGTAGAGAATACAGTCTGTATGTCTGGTATGATTAATGGTGATATCGTTCTGGGAGGTCACTTAGAAACGGGATCAATCTGAAAGTTTTTTTTCATTTATTGATTAGAAATGAGTAGTAAGGTAGAAAAAATTTGATAAATTGAACTTTGGTAAGAAGTAATTTTAGAAAAATTGTAAGCAAGAAAGAGATTTTAAAATTTGAGAAAATGATTTTAGGTGAGAAATGTTTTATAAAATTGCAAATTGAACTGTATGTAAGAAACACATTTAAAAAAATTGCGATCTTTGGGTAAGAAATAGTTTTTAACAACTGTAAGCTGAGTTCTGAATGTGAAATAGACTTTGGAAACTGTGAATTGAAATAGTTTTAAAAATTGTAAATTGAACTCTACATAAGAAACACATTTTAAAAATTGAGTTGCACTGAGTCTAAGGCCCAATAGTCATTCAAGAGACAGAGTCTCCCTAAGGGAACATCCATTCATTGTTGACTGGGTCTGATCAGTGATGATGGAATGTAACTAGTTTAATTTTTGAGATATTGAATGTAATCAGCTAGATTTTTTTTCCACTGGGATATTAGTGCTAAATTGAATGAGAGATCAGTTGCCACTCCCAGGTCCGTCTAGAATTTTGAAGATACACTCATATACTGTTGTATCTTTTATCACAAATGATCAGAGTTATACTCTCAGTGAGGATGCCTGCATTAATTTCTAAGGGCCCATAGGACTGGCCATCTGCAACTACCTTCAGGGATCAAACTGCTATGAAGGACATAGGACTTTATTACTTCCAGTGATTCTATAACCAGAGAGCTTGTATGGTAATACTTTCTGCCACATCTTGTCAAAGGCCTTTGAAATATCTAACACTATGGTTCTTGAGATATATTTGTTTTCTAGTGGTAGTTAGAACATTAGGAGTGGATTGTACTGCATGTCACTTGAGTGGTTGTTCTCATTTAGGTAATCAACAACCTTCTTGTTAATTATAGCCTCAAAAAAGCATGCTAATGACATGGAGGAGACTGATGGGACTGTAATGAGAGGGACATGAGTGCTCACCCACATTCTTGAAAACAAGGCATACAATTCCCACTTTGCTTGGGAATGATTTCTCCTTTAAGCAGTGGTTAAATATTTTTGCTAGGATCTGTGATAATTCCAGGCTGATATTCTTAAGAACAACCACTGGTATTTTGTTGGGGCCAGTGGATTTCTTAGAGTCAGAGACTTTCCAGGCTGTAATGAAAATACTAGTCAGTGAGATGGGGGAAGTTTGGAAGAGGATGTCCTATGTCTTCTAATGTTGACGCAAAGAGCTTTGCCTTATCTGATGAAGGTCATTTACAATATTGGACACAGATACCTTGCCTTTATTCATATTTTAGTTGTTGAGCTTCCAGAGATCCAGTTTGCTTTTAACCTTGGCCTGGACTGCTTGTGCATAGCTACACTTTGCATTTTACAGAAATATCTTGCAGCGACTGTAAACTGTTCTGAGTGCAGTAAGAATCAAACTACACCACTCCTTGTGTTAGATAATGAAGTAGTGGTTATGCTGAGCTATGGGTGTTGCACATTCAGGAGTGAACCAGGGCTGGCTGGCTGTTTGGTTTGGGCTGGAATTTAACTCTCATTTTCAGAAAAGATCCATTCTGAGATAAGGGCAGTAGTTTTGGAGGCAGTGTCTTTGAAGAAATTATAGAGAAAAGCTTCTGTCCTGTAAGATCTAAAGCCTTCCCAGTTTATCTTTGTCTGTGTGTGTATGTATATATATATATATATATATATATATATATAAAATACTGTTTATTATAAACAGAGCATTTACTTGAATATTTGTATCTATAAAAAGAATGTATAAACATAAAAAAATGTCTTAAAATAATTGTTGGACTTTGTCCATTTCATAATGTGTGACGTCATTTGTTTACATTTGGATACACATCGAGCAGATATGAATGTACGAGAGAAAATCATGGGGAATTGTAGTTTAAAAACAGTAAAATCAACCAAAACGCTCTTCTGTGGATCAATCGGTAAAGCATATATGACGGTTCCGCATAGGATACAGGTTCGATTACTGTTGAAGGATGCATATTTTCTATGAAAATCTCTCAGACATTCAGGCTGGTAAATGTCATTAATACTGTTTATTATAAACAGAGCATTTACTTAAATATTTGTATCTATAAAAAGAATGTATAAACCTAAAAAAATATATATATTTTATATATATATATATATATATATATACACATAAACAGAGGCAAACTAGGAAAGCTTTAGATCATATATATATATACACATTTGTGTGTGTGTCTGTGTCTCTCTCCTCCAATACACTTCAAGCAGACATGAATGTTTGAGGGAAATCATGATATATATATATATATATATATATATATATATATATATATATATATACACACAAAATAGACTAAGTCCAAAAACTATTTTAATATATTTTATTGTTATAAATTATTTAAATATACACAAATATTCAACTAAATGCTCTGTTTATAATAAACAGTATTATTCAGGCCGGTAAATGTTGTTAATACTGCTTATTATAAACAGAGAATTTATTTAGATATTTGTGTATATATAAATAATGTATAACAATAAAATATATTAAGATATATATATCAGTTGTAAAAGCAAAATTGTCCAACTGTTAGATTAAACTTTGAACCATTTTATCTTAGAAATGATTAAAGATATCTTACTGGAATTTTTCTGAGGTTTTTAGAACACTATTGGATTCTACTTTGAGCAATAAGAATGTATAATTACTCTCCAAGCTTAACAGAAGAATCTTGATGAATTCGATCATAAACATCTATGATTAAAAAATCATTAATTAATTATGGCTAATGACCAAAATCTCAAAGAATAAAATTAATTCAAATATATATATATGTATATTATTCTAGGATAATTTTCCAACTTATTCAAGATGATCTTTGCCCACTTTAACCTTCTAACTTTTTGTTTGGAGTAACAAGGTGCTACACAGGTTTCGTGCATGATTTCAATTTTCAAGTCTTTTTTCACTGCTGTTTGGACTGTCATAGCTGAAACTCCTCTCTCAAGTGCCAAATGTATTATGGATTGAGTTGGATCTTTTCTAATTGATCTCTTTAGCTTTAATCCTGATCCAATTTTCCTCTCTACTGTTCCTTCTTTTGAAACTTATTCCCCGTTCTCTTGATGGTTTTTAATGGACTTTGAAGATGGAAGCCAGTGTATGAATGTTGGTATCATTACTGAAGGCCTGAATGATCTTTTACCTACTTGTCCTCTTTTTAGCTGAATAACTCAAAGGGTTTTACAGTGATTCTTATGATAAATGGTGTCAAGATGGCTAAATGTTTTATCTGGAAACCCAGAAAAAAAGAAACTCAATTAGTTTAGTGTTTTTTTTTAGATATTAAACATTTCATGTGATGGACATGCTGTAAAATGATTTGGACAATTTTGCTGTTACAACCGGTATATATCTAATGCTTGCCCTACCACACTACTAACAGCCGAACGAGGAAAAATCTAGCTGGTCGCATTCAGTGCCTCAAAATCTAAACTAAAATCTGTTCTAACATTAGTGAGCAGACTTAGAACTTTCATCGATCACAATAAACATGTGTTCCCTCGGGGAGATCCTCTGCCTTGAGTGGCTATTATGACTGAAACTCAAACCTCAACTGAAACTCATATATATGATACATCTCTAAAGATGTTGGCAATATGGCTGGTTCCCTGTACAGGCATGAAAATCCAATGTCATCCTCAGTTTTCATTGGCAGAACATATAAAAATTTTCTACAGGACATATAAAAATTAATTTTATTTTCTGCCTGAATTTCTGGGATAAAAACTTATCTTTATTTATGTTAATTACACGAGGACAATTGTTCCCATCTTTGTTGTTCTTATCACAATGTTTTGGCCGTTATCAGGTGTGTGATAATCTAAATAACTTCCAGGGAATTTCAAGCTGAACCCTTTATTTAATCTATGGGTCTAGAGTAAATAAAGGTACCTGTAAAATAATAAGGGTCACATTCAAATCCCTATTCTGAGCCAATGAAACTGTCACTACTGATATGATGTGATACACCAATGGAAACGGTCAGAAAAACTCTATCAAAAATTGGAAAAGATCTGCAAACACCTGATGAAGGCTGGTGGGAACAGTGGTTGAAACGTGATAACAATAATAAAGATGGAGTTATTTATTGCGTTATGAGTAAGAAGAAAGCTTTGGACATAATTTGTGTAAATTCATCATACGACAGACTAATAAAGAAGAAAAAACTAAATTGCTCATTATTTATGCTATTTATATATAGACTATTCTCCTCACCTTTGTTGTTTTTCTCACAACATTTCAGCCATTGTGTCCTCCGACCTTCTTGAGGTGTATAGCAACCTGGGTAACCTACAGCAGTCAAAGCATGACATGCAGTAGCAGTAGCAGCCTAAGCAGCAGTGATGGTTTGATTTAAAGCTCTAAGCAAATAGTCCAATGGGACAATGGCAAAAGCTTGGCTTGCAAATTTGGTGACATAGTGGTTGTGAGTTCAATCCCTGGGGTGGGCAGTGTGTACTTGCTCTCAGTAGAAATGGAAAAACAAAATTTATGAATTAAAAACTAGACGATATCCCTAGACATGAG